AGGGCTCGCACGGGGACTGGGAGCGCACCGCACGGAGGAAGACAAAAGCAACGTGCAGGTCAGGAAGGACTGGCTCAAGCACGACAAGGACCGGCCCCCATGCCTGCGACGTCTACTCGGTCTACAGCGAGGACGCCGGGTTCCCGCTAAGGCGGCGCACGCATGGCTCGTGCCGAGATTCATGCACGGGACATCCTGCGCGGGGATGTCGGGCTCCGGGCTGGTGCAGACGGGGGCCTCGACCATGAAAGCCGTTGAGGCTCGGTCCCAGGGCGAGTCCACCACTACCTGCCTCACGATTGGAGGCCCGAAGGAGATCGACCGCATGCACGGGGCCACGCTCGAGCCCGTCTGCACTCTGGCGAGGGCCTGGCGGGAGGAATGTTTGCCAGTGAGCCAGCTCAGTGCCGCCTTCAGCGGCTACGCCAAGGGCGCCGCCACGTGGGGACAGGCGACTGGGCCCATGGGGGCCGCGGTGCTCTCGTGGAAGCGCTTCGGCTGCAAGCTGCGCGACTTCGAGAAGTGGGCCGTGCTCGATGGCAACGGGCATCTTAAAGTCTGCGACATGGCACCGTGATTCCTCAAGCAGGTGCTCAAGCTAGACCTTCTGAGTTGGCAGCTGCAGCTGGCCAAGGGCGCCCGCGAGGGCAACGAGCACGGGGCCCTCGTCAGTCAGATCAGGCGCTGGGTCCACCACGGCAAGGGCGCGTCGCCTGAGCGCAAGAAGTGGACGCCGCTCACGGAGGCCGAGCGAGGCTACGCCAGGTCCATTTTGGACAAGGGGCGGTGATTCTACGCGCGAAGGCACTCCGCCTCCACAGGCCTCGCGCAGGCGCCACGCTGCGCAGGAGGCGGGGCCGCCGCGAGGCATGTCATGCGCGCGAGGTTCGTGGCGGACCAGTTCAGGGCGCCAGTCGCCGACAGGCAGGCCTGGAGGACCAGAGGGCTTAAGTTGGGCGCCGTGGTCTATTGGGGCACAACAGACGGCGCGTAGGCGGCCGAGCTGCGCGGCAACTTCGAGCGCAACTATGCGGGGCCCTCGAGCAGGGGGGCCCTGCTCTACATTGTGCAGCGCGGCATCGTCAAGGTCCCAGGCGGCACCCACTGCCGCTAGTGCTTCCACTCTGCGCACGCGGGCGCGGAAGCCAAGAAGTTCCACGCGGGGCACTGCCACGCAGAGCCGTTTGCGCACGACGCTGCAAGGCCCAGGCGCCGCGGGGGAGGTGGCTCCCCATGGACGCGGGCTGAAGACTTCCCACGAGCACAGGCGCTGCTTGCGGTGCAGCCTGCGCGCCAAGGAGATCAAGGGCATGCACTGGGGCCTGGCGACATGGTGCCAGGTGGCGGAGGAAGCCTTCGCCTTGGCAGAGTGCGCGCGGTTGGAGGACAAAACCACGGGGGGTCTTGGTCCACACGCGGGCAAGGCGTTGCCCAGGACGTGATCGGCCCGCGCGGCACCTGTCTCTTCCAGGCTGCCTGCGCCGGCGCCTGCGCCCCTGCCTTTCGCCTGTCGTGGCCGCCGTTTGCGAGCCCACAGTGGTGGCGCTCGTGCCGCCTGTGGGGGGCGCGTGCTGCGGGGTTTGGCGGGCAAAATCGCCGGGTCTTGGTCCGCGCGCGGGCTTGTTGCCCAGTGCGTCTGTGGCCCGCGCAGCGCCTCGCGCTTCAGGCGGCCTGCGCGGGCGCCTGTGCTCTCTGCCTCTCGCTCGTCGAGGCCGCCATTTGCGGGCCTCCAGTGGCGGCGAACGGCCGCCTGGGGAGCTCGGGCTGCAGAGCGCGGATCGTGGCGCGCTGCGCGCCATGCTGCTGAAGGTGAAGAATTCTCGGCCGCCGAGGGCGCAACCTATAGCGCAACCAATAGGAGACGGTTTCACCCTCGGCCGCCGAGGGCGCGACCTATAACGCAGCCTGCAAGAGACATGTTTATTCTCGGCCGCCGAGGGCGCAACCTATGGCGCAACCAATCGGAGACGGTGTTATTTTCGGCCGCCGAGGGCGCAAGCTATGGCGCAACCGATCGGAGTTTGTCTGATTTTCGGCCGCCCAGGGTGCAACCTATGGCGCTACCGATAGGAAACGGTTTGGTGCTCGGCCGCCGAGGGCGCAACCTACGGCGCAACCGATAGGAAACGTTTTTGCTTTCGGCCGCCGAGGGCCCAACCTATGGCGCAGCTCATCGGCTAATATAGGTCATGGTAATGAATGAGAACGCGCATTCTTTAAACAAGTTATTGGAAAACCTATGATTTACAAATTGCGCCGCCTAGCCAAAACGAGACAAAACAACGCGTAGTACATGCAAGCACCGGTTCACTAAATTCACAAACGGATTGTCCAATTCCGGGGCACATTGTCTAAATTCTTTATCCTATCACTACCAGGACCTGATTGGTTCGATTCGCAACCGGTAGGACACGTTTTTATTCTCTTGCACAGGGTGTCTAGAGCTCCGACCACTTTATTTCGGCACCGCAACCCCCCCCCCCCCCCCCATCATAATCACCATCATCATCATCATCATCCACATCATCATCATCATCATCCATCATCATCATCATGCGCCCCCTCCGTCTCAGCGCCCTCCCGCGGCTCCAGCGCCCGCCCAGTGCCCCCTCCGCCCCGACCATTTTATTTCGGCACCGCACCCCCCCCCGCTCCGCCCCCTCCCCCGCGCCGTCTCAGCGCCCCCGCGGCTCCAGCGCCCGCCCAGTGCCCCCTCCGCCCCGACCACTTTATTTCGGCACCGCACCCCCCCCGCTCCGCCCCCTCCCCCGCGCCGTCTCAGCGCCCCCCCGCGGCTCCAGCGCCCGCCCAGCGCCCCCTCCGCCCGACCACTTTATTTCGGCACCGCACCCCTCCCCTCCGCCCCCTCCCCCGCGCGTCTCAGCGCCCCCCCGCGGCTCTCGCGCCCGCCCAGTGCCCCCTCCGCCCCGACCACTTTATTTCGGCACCGCACCCCCCCCCCGCTCCGCCCCCTCCCCCGCGCCGTCTCAGCGCCCCCCCGCGGCTCCAGCGCCCGCCCAGTGCCCCCTCCGCCTCGACCACTTTATTTCGCCACCGCACCCCCCCCCCCCGCTCCGCCCCCTCCCCCGCGCCGTCTCAGCGCCCCCCCGCGCCTCCACGCCCGCCCAGTGCCCCCTCCGCCCCGACCACTTTCTTTCGGCACCGCACCCCCCCCGGCCGCTCCGCCCCTCGACCGGCCGCAGCCGTCTCATCGCCCACCCGCGGCTCCAGCGCCCGCCCAGCGCCCCTCCGCCCAAAAAACAACTATCACGTTCGGCACCGCACCCCCTCCCCCGCTCCCGCCCCCTCCCCGCGCCGTCTCAGCGCCCCCCCCGCGGCTCCAGCGCCCGCCCAGTGCCCCCTCCGCCCCGGCCATTTTATTTCGGCACCGCACCCCCCCTCCCCGCTCCGCCTCCTCCCCCGCGCCGTCTCAGCGCCCCCCCGCGGTTCCAGCGCCCGCCCAGTTTTCCCTCCGCCCCGACCACTTTATTGCGGTGCGCCCCCTCCGTCTCAGCGCCCT